ATTCCGTCAGATATCAACAACTCGAAGACCTCGAAGTGATTAATTCAAAGTTGAGTACCCTTGAGCTGACCCGAAATCTCAAGAAGTTGATTCTTACATCTTGTGATTTGGTAGAACTTCACATCCCCATTGGAGACGTAATGCTCAAATCTCTGGAGATCAAAGGATGCTTAAAGTTGAAGACCCTTGACCTTGGGGGAACTCCAAATCTCGAGAGTTTACACATCGAAGAATGTTCCAGTTTGGTAAAACTTCTTGCTCCCATTGGAGGTCTAAAAAAGCTCACCAACTTAAAAGCAAAAGGTTTTTTGAGGTTTACAAATTTATATATTGAGGAAAGTTATGGATCATTACCTAGCTTAGATCTGCATGGAAAGTTGATAGATACATGCCCATTGCACCCCGATGATAATTTCCCCAAGTTTCAGTTTGATTGTACATATCGGGAAGATCTACCCTCATTGATTGGAAATGTTGAGAAGCTTATTTCAGTAGGTTCCTCTTGTGCTTGCACAGACCTTGTGAGTTTTTTCGGAAGCAATTGCGGTTTACAGCATTTAGGATACCTGACACTCCAGGGCGATATTCCAGAGGCGCCCAAAGACCTTGGCAGCTTACAATGTCTAGAGCGGTTCACTTTCAGGTCTACAAGTATTAAACATCTTCCTGATAGCATTTTATTCTTGAAACATCTGAAATCTCTCCTACTTTTAGACTGTGAGCTTCTTGAGAAGTTACCGGAGGATCTTGGTCGATTAGAATGTCTAGAGAGGCTAATACTAAAACGGTGTCTAGTTTTACGAGATATTCCGAACAGCATATGTAGGTTGAAAAGTCTAAAGTATCTCAGTCTCGAAGACTCTATTAGAGTTGAGAAATTGCCAGAGGAACTTGGACGTTTAGAATGTTTAGAAGAGTTGGATATACAAGGTACAAGCATAAAAAATCTTCCCCCAAGCATTTCATTGTTAGGAGGTCTGAAAATTGTTCGATCAGAAGAAGGAACAACAAGAACTACAACTACGGGAGGCTGCTGTATGGTACTGTACCGTATTTTCTCTTCTTGGCACGAATGGATCTTACTGCACTGCAACAATAACAGAATGTAGAGATGAAGAGGGGGATGAAAATGAGGTGTTTTCTTATTCTTAACATGAATCAAGTGGGGATATCAATCTGTTGCATGACTATTTCTTTAAACATGCTTCATTTTGTTTGTTCAGGGTATTGTCATCTTTATGAAGCTATCATTCAAGAATGGACTCAGCAAGTGCAGGATATGTTAATATGAAGAAGTTTGATGTGGCTGAGTACTATTCAAAGGTATTTTCTTACATTACTCATGATTTCATATAAATTGAACCTTAAATGCATATCTTTCGAGCACTAATTGAGGTCTAAGAAGAAACCATAGGTTCACCATGTCTTAAAATTGCCAACATTTTGCTTGATTTGGGTCTATAAAATTCATTGAATGTTGCATATTGTTGCTCACTGTCTTCTATTTAGTTATTTTCTAATGTTATTTACAATTGTCAGGCGAATCTTCCATGGCAAGATGGAGAATACTCATTGTCTAACACGGTGGAGTTTTGTTGCATCCCAAAACTCTGATTTTTCCTGGGGATCATATACGATAGATATCAAAACGCCTTAAGCCTGCACAACGCACGGACTGCTAACAACCGAGCCACAGAATCCTTGAGGCAAATGCAGGATGCTTCATTAATCTTACATAGACTTTGGTTCTCATTACTCAACTACAACTCTTCAATTTTTGTCATTAATTAATAAATGGACCTTGGATCTTTCTGCTTGTAACAGAAATTTTGATATGATTCTGTTTGTACCATGTATTCTTTATCTAAGCATCATACTCTGCTCTATGAGGAATCATATTAGTTTTCTATTATCAGCTTATAATAAACTTTTACATCTCGCTAAAATTGTGTGGGTACACAACTAGTATTCAAGAATACAAGTAACTACAGCTGTCATATGTTCATCGTGTGTTGGTCTTTGGTCTTTCTACATGTCTAATCACACTGTCGTGGTCTTCATGGAAACAATGGATCTATTGGTTGTCGTAGAGGTTAGGTCAGTGTACATCTCACCCTCCCTAGACCCTCTTTTGAATGGTTCATCGAATAGGTTAATTATCAGCATCTTGGTATAGAGCTGGTGCATGCAATTTGTATGCTGTGTTTCTGGCCTATAGGCCACGAACAAGTGAGGGAGAATTTCATCTTAGGATACGACAGAAACAGTATTCTATCTTTATATATCTGTGTTCTTGGCATATTTAAGCATAATCAGGTTAGTAATTTACTGGTTTTATTGGTATTGGTTGTATTGGATTCTATTTACATATAATTTAGAATCGAGTCATTGAGTCTTACGCTTCAGTTTATTAAGCTAGACAGGATTGAACCTTCAAACGATCCTTCATGCTTTTGAAATTCCCATACTGCAGTGCTTTCGTGAAGGAGTCAGCCAGTTGGTCTTTAGTGCTCCAGTACTCAACCTTTACCTCTTCATTTGTGATCAATTCTCTAATAAAGTGATATTTTACCCGGATGTGTTTGCTTTTACCATGAAACACAGGGCTCTATGAGAGAGCAATGGCAGAGTTGTCACAAAAAATAGTAGTAGGGCCACATTGAGTGTGATTCAGCTCATGTAGTATATCTCTTAGCCAAAGAGCCGGACAGCCTGCCATAGAGAGTGTCATATATTCTGCCTCGGTAGAAGATAGTGCCACAACACTTTGTTTCTTTGACTGCCAGGATATTGCACCACATCCCATATGGAACACATACCCTCCTGTGCTTCGGCCATCATCAAAACTACCTCCATAATCACTATCACTAAAACCCACAAGTGTGAAGTGGTTTGACTTAGAATATATAATGCCATGATCTAGAGTTCCCTTAATGTATTTTAGGATCATCTTTCCTGCTTCCCAATGACTGACCTTTGGTGAGTCCATAAATCGGCTTAAAATACTAACTGAAAAAACCAAATCAGGTCTGGTAGCAGTCAAATACATAAGACTGCCAACCAGACTTCTATATAAACAGCCATCTATACTTCCTTCTTTGTTGTCCTCGGAGAGCTTGATCCCAAATTCCGTAGGAGAAATAGCAATATTAGACTGTCCCATATTCAATTTATCAATCAAACTGTGTGCATACCTGTGTTGAGTGATTTTGATCTCCTCTTCTTTTTGTCTAACTTCAATACCCAAAAAATAGTGAAGCAGCCCCATGTCTGTCATATCAAATTCTGCCTTCATACTTTCGTTAAATTCTTCTACCATAGCGTGTGAGTTGCTCGTAAAAACCAAGTCATCAACATAGATACAAACAATGAGAATCATACCTTCAGATTTCTGAGTAAAAAGGGTATGCTCTTGAGGACCTTTGGTGAAGCCATGTGTCAAGAAGTATCCTTCAATTCTACTATACCAAGCACGTGGTGCTTGTTTCAAGCCATATAAGGCTTTCTTTAAATGACATACTTTATGTTCCTCACCCTTCTTGACATAACCCTCAGGCTGATCCACATACACATCTTCCTCTAAATTCCCATTTAAGAAGGCTGATTTTACATCCATTTGGTGCACTTTCCAGTTATTTTGTGCAGCCAAAGATAGAACTAATCTAACTGTTTCTAATCTAATAACTGTTGCAAATACTTGTTGATAGTCAATCCCATATTTTTGTTTGTAACCTTTCACACCTTGCTTTATGTCTATCAATGTTTCCTTCCTCATTCAAATTTAGTCTTGTATACCCATTTACTCCAATGGGTTTATGACCAGTTGGAAGATTTACCAATTCCCAGGCATTGTTCTTTGTGATGGCCTCTATCTCTTTGTCCATAGCCTCCCTCCATTTTCTTTCTTGCCAAGCTTCTTCAAATGATATTGGATCAGCATCTGAGAATAAGACAAAATCTGTGGTGTTATTGAATTCAAGACTTCTTGAGTCATTATATATATCCCTTAGGCTTCTGTAACCTCTCTTAAGTGGACTTTCAGGCAGTCCAAGAAGGAGCTTGAATTTTCAGGAGATTGAGAGGTTGTAAGAGTGTTCAAAATATCCTGACACAGACCCTTCTTGATTCTGATTGCTCTCTATCTACCCTTCTGTGATTGTCTCAATCTGAGGAGAGGTTACTTCTTTCCTTGGTGCATCATTCCAAAGACTTTCCCTCATCAAACACAACATCCCTACTAATAATAGTCTCTTAGTGATAGGATTGTAGAGCTTGTAAGCGTTAGATCTATCACTGTATCCCACAAAAATAGCCTTCTCAGATTTTTCATCTAGTTTGTTTCTCTTCTGTTCAGGAATGTGTGAATAAGCCACACATCCAAAGGTTCTTAGGTGTCCAACAGCAGGTTTGTAACCAGTCCATGCTTCTTGGTGCCATGTTTGAAAGAGCCTTTGTTAAAGTCCTGTTTATCAAATAGCAGGCACAGGATATTGCTTCTGCCCAAAATGAATTGTCCAATTTCTTACCTTTAGCATGCTGCTTGCTTTTTCAACAAGAGTTCTATTTAATCTCTCAGCTACCTCATTCTGTTGAGGGGTGTATCTATTGGTCATTTGATGGTGAATTCCGTTTTCCTTTAGAAAATCAAGGAAGTATGAGGAGTTAATACTCTCCTCCACCATCTGATCTAATGGTCTTGATCATGTAACCACTTTGTCTCTCAACATAAGCCTTGAATATTTTGAACATATTGAAGACCTCAGACTTTTCTTTCAGAAAATAAATCCAAAGTATCCTATTGTAATCATCTATGAAGGTGAGTATGTATCTGTTACCTCCGATACAAGCGATCTCTATAGGTCCATATAAGTCTTTGTGGATAAGTTCCAATGGCTTTGTTGCTCTCCAAGCTTCCTCTTGGGGAAAAGAATCTCTAGTCTGTTTTCCCATCATACACCCTTCACACACTTGTTCTATTCTGCTTAGACTAGGCAGTCCTTTAACAAGATATGAGAACCGGGTTTAGGTGATCTATGATTAAATGATGTTTTGCTTCAAGAAATGCGCGAAGATATGGAATCTTAAAACTTAGTGTATTCTATAATCTCTTCTTGGATATTTTTCTTAAAAGTGCCGTGGGATCCGTGGTTCTCATTCACATCCATTATATCCAAATCTTACATTCTTCCCTACATATATAATCTTTATATAATTCCAACCTGTTGCAACTTAAAATCCTAGTGCCAATTAGCCAAACATTCTTCTTCTTCAACAATGAGATCTGCATTTCAGGCAAAAACTTCACCTACATTATGTGAATTAACGTTTTCAGTTCCAGGAAGTCCGTCATACATTTCTGTCAATATGCAAGTTATCAAGCAGGTAAATGGGATGCTCTTCAAATTCCAGAAAAATGTATTCACTGAAATGATGTTACTGTCAAGTAGTGTCAACTGCAGTTCTCCACCGATAGTTTCTGGTGCTGTCTTGTTGCTGATTTGCTGTGTTCTTGATGTTGGTTTGCTACTACAGCAGCTGTTGGTGTAATCATCTCTCTTAACCAGCCTCATCCTTGCAAACTCAACTCTTGTTTTGGTTGTGAAAACTGGGCCTGCTTTGTTTATAGCTTTTCACTAGAAACTGATACACATTAACTAAAAGATTACAAGACAATTAAGGGGTTTTCTGAACGAAAAATAAATGACAAATATACCAGTAATCAAGTGAGCAGACCGTGTGAAAATGATGAAGGGAAAAGGCAAGTTGTCTGCTTAATGTCGACTAGTGCTCCTCGCTTTTCGTTAATAGTTGGTTGTTTTTCCCGCAATTATCTCTTGACCATTCGGTGCTCTTATGATCTCGAGTCATAAAAGTTGTTTTCTATGGTTAAGTACCCTTGACCTTAGGTGAAGAGATAGGAAACTCGGCTTTTCGAAGTTAAGTACCCTTGACCTTAGGCTAAGTCCAAATACCGAGAAATTGAATCTTCAGCAGTGTATGAATTTGGTAGAACTTGGCATGCCCTGTGAATGTCCACAACTCAAATCCCTCAACTTGAGTTGTCCAAATTTAAGGTCCATTAACCTTGGGATGACTCCCAATAAGGAATAATTGACCCTTGAGGGACAAGATGATCATTTGTTAGTTGACATGCCTGTTATATTTCCAAAACTCAGTGATTCAAAGTTGAGGATCCTTGAAATGATGTGTCTTGCAAATTGCTATGATTTGGTAGAACTTCACATCTATGGATGTCTAAAGCTTGAATCTCTCAACATCATGGGTTCAAAGTTAAAGAATTTGACCTTGGGAGGACTCCGAATCTCGAGAAATTTTATCTTGCAGAATGTGTTGATTTGGTAGAACCTTCACATTCATGTTGAACGTCTAAAGCTCGAATCCATCTACATCAATGATTCAAAGTTGAGGACCCTTGACCTTCGAGGGGCTCCAAATGTCGAGACATTAAGTGTTAGAGGATGTTACGGTTCGGTAGAACTTACATTCATGTTGAATGTCTAAAGCTAGAATCAATTTACATCATGGGTGCGAAGTTGAGGACCTTTGACCTGGGCTTACTTCGAATCTCAAGAGGTTAAGTCTTATAGGATGTTATCATTTGGTAGAACTTTACGCAACGGTTCTCATCCATGAACTAGAACTCTTCAATTTCGATCATTAACAAATGGACCTTGGATCTTTCAGCTTGTAACAGAAATGTTGATATGATTCTGGTTGCTCCATGTATTATATCATCGAATTGCATCATTATGTTCAAGTATAAGTATAAAATATAATATAAATTACGGTTAAACTTGTAAGGTTATATTGGGATGTCGATTTGAGTGAGAAGTTTGAAGCTTGATTTTTATGTGTTTATGGAGTTGGATCCTATTTGGGGCAAAACCGGGTCAAGAAGATGACCCATGTTATTGAAGTTTTCATGTTTACACTTTAGCCACAAAGGTCTAAATAGAAAATCCATTTCTTTGCATATTGACCACTGAGCATTAAAAATAGTTTCAAAGTTAGTCCATCAGTTACTGCAGCCCCTCAACTTGAACACAGAAAAATTTAGCAGATTTTTTTTTGGATTAACCTGGATATCCAACCCGCTATGTGAGCCGACTAATCCCAAGGCGACCACTTGCTTTGCAGATAACGCGGAGTCACCGCAGGTGAACCGACTAATCCGATAAGAAATGGTAGTTGTTTCTTATCCTGATGTGTGGTTCACTTTCTTATGTCGACATTAATTTGTAGGACTACTTCTCTCTTGTCATATTGTGTGGTACTTCACATCTTGACATAAATAGGTGGATCACCTGGTTTGACAAATGGTGTAATGTATAAAATCGAGTAAATTATTTAATTTTCTTGAAACTTCACAGTAAAATATTGTGAAGGTAAAAAAGTCTGAACTTTCACATCGAAAACATCGTGAATGTTATCTTTACAGTATTCTATTGTGAAGTTTCAAGTGTAAAAAAATGGTCTCACGGGTCTCATGAAAACTGTCTGGTCTCACATGATCCCAAGCTTTGACAGTATTGTCAAGTTGTGGAACGTACTCAAGATCTAGTTATTTCTTATATTCTACGTCGCAATACGTCAACCCCTCTGATGTATGCAAAAATCATAAACTCATATAGTCGTTTTATAGGACATGACCTAGATTGTCAAAATGTCTTAATAGAATACTTTATAGAACTTAATTATAGGACCAAACTATAAAACGTCTTATTTAAAAGTGTTAAATAGGTTTATAGGACGTTTTTATGTGTTTTAACAAGTTTTTTGTAACGCTTTTAGAATAAAGTGTCATAATAGCTATTTTAGAGGACATTTTTGTAAAGGGTCATATAAGCCCATCATTTTGTACGACACTTTTTCAAATAGTGTCGTATAAAATAGTCAATACGACACTTTGTTTTAAAACGCCTAAAAACGTCCTATAAACCTAGCTATTGTAACACTTTTAGATACGTTTTGATTTGGTCCTATAAACTTAAGTCGTATAAAATATATTCTTTTAGGACGCTTCTACATTTTAGGCGTCTTATAAAATCAATTTTGTTGTCGTGTCTAGTTCCAAAGTATCAAGCTCTGCAGTGCTCAACAACCTTAATCTCGAATCCACAGTAGCCGGCTAAGATAACACGAATGTGAAAAGAAATCCACTTCATCGAGCATATGGGTTACTTAACCTTTTACGAACAAATTTGCTAACCATGAAGTGTAGTTTGGAAAGATAGAAAATGGATTATATTATCGCGATATATGCAGAAAAATCAAGTTCTCAAGGCTTATGATCCTATATTTCTATGAGAATCTTTAGAGATACCATTATCACAAAGTTCCTCCCGATTAGCATATTACATGAACAACGGGCTTCGTTTTTAGTTGACTGTATTCCCTCTTGATCCGTAGATGCGCACTCTTTCGATCTCGACTTGAGATTAAGAGTTGTTTTCTATGGCTAATGTGTGCACTTGTCAAAGATCTCACCACATCTATATGGAATAATTGACAAGTATAGTATTTTGATTAAAACCCAGTAGTTAAATTCAAGAAAAATTGAGTCAAAGAGCTTTTAATTGGTTTCATAATGATTTGGTATCCATTTCTTATAAGTATGGTAGATGAAGTTGGTGGTGGTGGGACAAACTGTGTGATCAAAATAAGAGGCTTTTGTTTCTCCACATCATTCCACAATTCAATCCTTCAAACAAACACATCATGTTCACATTAATTACCAGTAGTACTACAACCATTGCCTTATTCATATATACTTTCAGGGTTAAGTTGTTCATCTCATCCAGTTTTCTTTGCAAAGTTTTGGTTTTAGTTTATAGAATCATTCAGCCATACCATCAATGGCATCTTCTTCAACTTCATCCATTCACAAGAGCATCTTTAAGTACGATGTATTTTTGAGTTTTAGAGGTGAAGACACTCGTAAAACATTCATTGGTCATCTTTATGACGCTCTTAAGCGAGAAAGCATTGAAACTTACAAGGACGACATGGACCTCGAGAAAGGGAAAAAGATCAGTAAAGAGCTCATTCAAGCCATCCAAGACTCGAGATTCCATGTCATTGTTTTCTCCAAGAACTATGCATCTTCATCGTGGTGCTTGGATGAGCTTGTCAAGATTATGGAGTGCCAAAAGACGATGATTGGGCATACTGTTTACCCAATCTTCTATGATGTGGAACCCACTGAAGTCCGCAAACAAAGTGGGGAATTTGGAAAAGCCTTTGCCAAATATGAAAAGGCCGAGGCTACTCAGAAATGGAGAGAAGCTCTGGTAGAAGCGACATCTTTCAGTGGCTGGGACTTAATGACCATTGCTGATGGGTAATTCCTTCATTGTATCTATGCAATATTCTTTCATTTTGTTTCTTCTCGTGTTTTATCGTCAAACTTTGAATCTATCTAACTTGAATACTCTTCTCGATAGAATAATTTGAAATGTGATTATATGTGACACTGTTATAGTTACTTCTTATGTGTTTGTATTTTGTAGATATACATGTAATTATTCATGTTGAAGTTTGAGAAAGCTAATTGATTCTTCTTTAACATATATATATACAGGCAAGAAGCTGAATTTATCAAAAAAGTTGTTAAAGAAATTTCAATTAAGCTACCTTCCATCAGCACTGCTGATTATAACTTAGTAGGCATGAGGACTCGGATAGATCACGTGGTTTCATCTTTAAACACTTTTCGTGATGAGTTTTGCATGATGGGAATCGTGGGGGTGGGAGGTAGTGGAAAGACAACTTTGGCCAGAGCTGTTTTTGATCAAATATGCAATGAGTTCGAAGGTAGCAGCTTTGTTGAGAACGTTCGGGAATGTTCATTAGGTTTGAACTCATTGCAACAACAAGTCCTTCGCAACGTGTTAAAGCAAGACGTTATTGTAACTGGTCTTACAGACGGGAAAATCAAGATGAAAAGGCATATGCTAGGTAGAAAGGTTCTTGTTGTTCTAGATGGTGTGGATAATATAGACCAACTTGAGGCCTTAGCTGGTGAGCCTAATTGGTTTAAGCGCGGAAGTAAAATTATCATTACAACAAGAGACAAGCAAATACTAGTAGCGCACAAAGTAGTGAAAGTTATTCACGATGTCAATCTATTAACACACGACGAAGCAATTTGCCTCTTGAGTAGGCGTGCATTTGGGACAGAGATTCCGATTCCAGGGTATGAAAAGCTATCAGCGAAAGTTGTAAGTATTGCTGATGGTCTTCCTTTGACGATTACAACCGTGGGTTTGAATCTCTATGTATGGATAGATACCTTAAAAGGACTAGAAAAAATTCCATTTGATGGAACTCTACAAAAGTCACTGTTAAAATCCATCCATGCAAAGGAAGATCTCAAGGACATATTCCTAGATGCTGCATGCATATTGAAAGGTTGGAAGGAAGATGAAGCAATTAGAGTGCTTGAAAGCTATGGATTTAATGATATACATGGTTTGAGTGTTTTCTTTAAGGGAAAATCTCTCGTAACTATTTCTCATGATAAGAACTCGGGCATGCACGATCATATAGAAGAAATGGGGGGGCACCCTGTTCGCCATTTGTACCCTCATGATCCTGACAAGCATAGCCGACTGTGGTATAAGAAGAAAATCAATGATACATTGGCGAATAATCGGGAAAAGGGAAATTTTATTGGTAAGGGAGAGAAAACCAACACTTTTTCATTTGTTAAGACGCAAATCACAACATTGGATCTTAATGGATGCGAGGATTTGTTAGAACTTCACTTGCCCCATGAATGTCCACAGCTCAAAACATTGAATCTTGAGGGATGTAGGGCTTTGGTAGAACTTGGCATGCCCGATGAATGTCCACAACTCATAACATTGGATCTTAATGGATGTGAGGATTTGTTAGAACTTCACATGCCGCTTGAATGTCCACAACTTGAAACATTGAATCTTGAGGGATGTAGGGCTTTTCGAAAACTTGACATGCCCGGTGAATGTCCACGGCTCATCACATTGGATCTTAATGGATGTGAGGACTTGTTAGAACTTCAAATGCCACGTGAATGTCCACAGCTCAAAACATTGAATCTTGATGGATGTATGGGTTTTCGAAAACTTGGCATGCCCGGTAAATGTCCTCGGCTCATCACATTGAATCTTAATGGATGTGAGGATTTGTTAGAACTTCACATGCCGCGTGAATGTCCACAACTTGAAACTTTGAATCTTGAGGGATGTAGGGCTTTTCGAAAACTTGACATGCCCAGTGAATTTCCACGGCTCATCACATTGAATCTTAATGGATGTGAGGATTTGTTAGAACTTCACATGCCCCTTATATGTCCCCAACTTGAAACATTTAATCTTGAGGGATGTAGGGGTTTAGTAAAACTTGACATGCCCGGTGAATGTCCACGGCTCATAACATTGGATCTTAATGGATGTGAGGATTTGTTAGAACTTCACATGCCCCGTGAATGTCCACAGCTCAAAACATTGAATCTTGAGGGATGTAGGGGTTTGGTAAAACTTGACATGCCCAGTGAATCTCCACAACTCAAAACATTGAATCTTAAGGGATGTAGGGGTTCTGTAAAACGTTTTGCTACATATAGCCGTGAATAACACTCACACCCACAACATGAGTCTCCTCTACCATGCTCCAGAGATGATTTTGACAAGCTCCAAAAGGCCAAAAAGTCAATTCACAAAGCTGTAAGAGGTACTTTCTCCCCTTCAATTCTTTTAATCATCTTACTTTGATTTGCATCATGAAATTTATATGACAAAAATTAATTAATTAGTTGGGTTAAAAAATCAATACATGTGTTCCTTCAACGGATTCATTTCAAGAAGGATTGGAGGATCGTCAAGAGCCATTAATCTGTTTGCGACTCCATGAATTATTCGCTCAGCCAAAAGATCTACCGTCCACTTCCACCACTTTCAAGGTATCAATTCTAGTCTTTCTTTTTTGTATGAAGCTTCTTCTTATCAAATCTTTATTCTGTTGGAGAGAGAATTATGGCAGAATGAATGGATTTTCATCAAATCCTTAAGAGTTCTGGAAAATTCTTTATTTTGGGAAATCAATGGTGTTCTTGATCAAAGTGCTGGAGTTTTAGTGATTTTCTGATTTGGGAATGATATCTAGTCCTTTGAATTTGATATATGTTTATGGAATGTTTAGAATGTATATAAATCATGTATTGCTTCGAGTTAAGCTGATCTTGGATATTGTATCAAAGGAAATCGATTAGAACGGGTGATAAATGGGATTTTCTGGTTAAAAATGAGTTTTGGTCTAGAGTAAGACTAACAGTAGCCTACGTGACTTGCACCGCGACTTGGGGTCACGTGCCTCTGTCCGATCTCAAACTCATTGTTGGAAGCATTTTGGATGTGCTTAAGGCATATTATTATAGGGTATTTGAAAGCTTCTAGTGTGATAAACTCTTGGGTGTAACAAAAACCATTATATATATGATAAATTTAGGTACTCGGTTTGAGGAATTGTGGTCTTTTGAGCTTGTTTTGGAGCTTGGACATGAAGTGAGTTTCTTGTACGGGTTTTACTAAAAATGCAAGATATATATTTGACGCTATATGACGATATGTGAAATGAATGTGCAAGATTTTATGAAATGTTATTTGACAAAAATTGGAAATGTATATCTGTTAAATATGCGCAGTTAATGCTATCTGTTGATGCTTGTATGTGCGTGAAGTCGGTGAGTGGTACATCTGTGAGCTTAAAAAGGAATGTATTCCGGGTAGAGTTTACATTCATTTTGAGTTACAATTTAGCGGGGTCTTGTCAGCGCTTAAGATGGAATGTAGTCCATGTAGAATGTCCGGCGTTGTCTATGCTTAAGATGGAATGTAGTCCAGGTAGAAAATGTAATGGGTAAAAAATGTGGATCAAAATCACTATGATTACTGTTCTTCTATTTCCTAAAACAAAGAGTTTTACGTTCTTTTGCAGGCTGATCAGGTGGTGTCGTTGTGAGCGTTGAGTTATGATGTTGGTTTGCTGTCGTCTTTCTTGTTTCTTAATTCATTGATTGGAGCTATAACATGAATGATACTAGTAGTGAAGGTCGGGTAATCACTCTATCAATGAGTTCTCACCCCACTTCTTAAGCATTTTGCTTTTTATACATAACTTTCACTGTTTTATGGTTGTAGATCATTAATTACAAAAGCTTTATACTTTTAACTTGTTCAACTTGTCTGTTTTGAAATGCATACAGGATTGAGAACCGGTTGCTGCTACAGCCAAGGCAAAGGAGGAATGAAGAAAGTGAGGTAGAGGTTAATCCAAATACAGTGATTCGGGAGCAATCTGTATATTAACAGAAGCTGATTGAGAAGCTGGAGAATTATAAATATATAGTGTGAGGTCCCAAAAAAAATGAAAAACTAAGTAACACCCTAGTAACCGTTCATGTGGATGGTATGTACATGTGCATATGTAAGCAATTTTTCCGGTATGCGCATGTGAATAAAAACCAAAAAAACAGCTTCAATTACTTGTATGTGCATGTGCCTACTGTCCAGATGAATGGTTATCAGTCTGTTCCTTAGTTTTTCATCTTTTGGGGGGGTTTTCCCCTGAAAATCCCTCTCTATATATAAGTTATATATAAAGACTTGAATGTTTAAACTATATATGTACCTAAACCATGACGTTCAAGTGTGTTAATCCAGGGGTGCACCTTAACAATCTTTTGACTTAAGTTGCGAAGAACACCTGCATTGCAGTTTTAAATGAAGAAGGTTTCTTTATGTAAATGACCCATGTATGAAAGAAATCAAAAGTTTGAGGCTTTTCTATATATTTAAACTTTCAACTTGCGAAGAACACATATGTCGGTTTTGATTTTACATGATAACATGAGGAGAAAAGTGATGTGAATGTATTATCCAAGCTTTGATTTACAGTTTGGCCACAAAGCTCTAAACAAAGAGTTCATTTCTTTCTACTTGGATGTTGAGTAATTTTTGGTATCCTTTTTCATTGAGGAAACTTAAATATTTTAGAAACACAGGAACGTCTATTTTGTGAGTATTCGTCATGAACACTCACAAAATAGGTGGTCCATGTGTTCCTAAGGTTCCCAAATTATATGTAACTCGAAGATCAGTTCTGAAGGTTAATTTAAGGGACACTGAGCAGGAGCGGACCCACTCGATTGTATACACGTTGGCATGGGCCACCGCTTCGTTCTTCTGTTTAAATCTAGAAAATTATAGGGTCGCGAAAAATGTCACTGTATCAATCTGTTGCGTGACATCATATATATATTTTGAAACTACAGTGAGGAAAATTTTCCTTTGGTAGAGTTGGTTTGCAAGATTCGAGCCCCGAGTTCAAATCTTGTTAGTCTCATTTTCTTAGTTTTTAGCTTTTAATTTCATATTTATTATGTTTACGAAAAAAAAATTTGCAATAAAAGTGGTGAAAAACCATTGCCTTCTTGATATACACTCTTGAGGGTTATACATCTCATTTGATTTTCCTTGCAATATTCATATCGGATAGAATATTTCGCCAACAAAGTTTTGATTTAAAGGTTCCTTCAAGCATTACCTTCAATGGCGTCTTCTTCAACTTCATCTATTCACAAGAGCTTCAAGTATGATGTGTTTTTGAGTTTTAGAGGTGAAGATACCCGTAAGAACTTTGTTGATCATCTTTATTATGCTCTTCAGCAAAAACGCATTCACACTTACAAGGATGACGAGAGAATCGAGAAAGGGGTAAGGATCAGTGATCAGCTCATGAGATCCATTGAAGACTCAAGATTCCACGTCATAATTTTCTCCAAAAACTTTGCATTTTCATCTTGGTGCTTGGAAAAGCTTGTAACGATTATGGAGTGTCAAAAGACGCACGAGCAGACTGCTTACCCGGCGTTTTATGATGTGGAATCCTCTGAAGTCCGCAAACAAATAGGGGAATTTGGAAAAGTCTATGCCGAACATAATGAAAAGAAAGCGGCTGCTGGGAAATGGAGGAAGGCTTTGGAAGAAGCAGCCAATCTGGGTGGGTGGGAGTTAAAGAACACTGCTGATGGGTAATTTGATGTGTTAAATGATCAAGGTATCACCACTAGTAGTGTTGAGAGGAGTCCGAATATCAAGATGTTGAATCTCGAAAGATGTGATGCTTTTGTGGAACTTCACATGTCTGTTGAATGTCTAAAGCTCAAATCCCTAAATCTCAGTCATTCTAAGTTGAGAACCCTTGACCTTAAGAGAAGTCTGAATCTCGAGACGTTGAATCTTGAAAGATGTGAAAAGTTACCGGAAGATCTTGGGCGATTAGAATGTTTAGAGAAGCTAATCATACCAGATTGTGTATTTTTACGAGATATTCCAGACAGCATCCGTAAGATGAAACGTCTTCAATATTTTCATCTCCGGTACTGTGTTATTGTTGAAAAATTGCCAGAGGAACTTGGACAGTTAAAATGCTTAGATGAGTTGAATGTAGAAGGTACAAGCATAAGACATCTTCCGCAAAGCATTTTTGTTTTGAAAGGTCTGCGTGTTGTTGGGTTTAGATGGCTTCTTGAGTTGTGTGGTTTTAAAAAATCCGAGATACAAAACTCAGAACACGAAACATTCTACTACATATAGCGTGAATAACATTCAGGCAGCCACAACCGGAGTCTCCAAGGCTGATTTTGAAAAGCTCTGAACGCCCAATGAAATACTTTCGTCTTCTTCTTGTAATCATCTTACTTCGATTTGAATTCAAGTCATTGAAATTGAAATTGTTTATTGGTTTTTATGCACGTGTGCAGACAAATTGCTTACAAATTACTTGTATGCACATGTGCATACCATCCAAAATAAACAGTTACCAGGGTATTACATAGTTTTTCATTTTTTTGCAGTTCCGTGAACCCAACCCATATATTAATAGAGTTCTTAGATCTACACTTTTGCCCACAACGTTCTGAACAGGAAATTCGTTTCTTTACAGAAATAGTGACATGGTCTGAAACTTTCGTACACGAGGCTACTTATAAAGGGCGTACAAAATTTGCATGAAATTGTCCGAAAATTGATACAAGTTCGTATTTTTTGTGTACTTCATAGCATAGATTGTAGAACTAGAAAACAATTCTCAGCTCTGCTTACTTATATGACTAGAGTTTGACCTCCTGTTGTACTCACCAACCAGCTTTGAAAATGAAGATGACTTCTCTTCTAACAATTTTGTAGGAGAATCGTATTCTTCGATCAAGCCTGCAAATTATGGGTTTAGATAAAGAAGTCAGAATCACAGTTCTTTGACAACAATTGTGGCCACTGAGTTTATCTGTGGTCAGAGTTTGCCAGGATTAGTCTAGGCATAGCCTGGGACACTCTTCAGAAAATAAAAGAATAGGAGCACCCCAAGGGCTCAATATGACAAGACTGAGTTCACACAAACCRTTGTTCAAAACCAAAACCATGTCACCGTTGACCACAGAGGTGATTCTATGCGCGATTGTTATGACAGTAGAGTCTGAGAAGTGTTCCCTAAGCGTTTTCTGAATCATGTTATCCGTTGCTGTATCAACYGATGCAGTGGCCTCATCAAGAACCAGTATCTTGCTTTTCTTGAGTAGTACGCGGCCAAGACAGACCAGTTGCTGTTGACCCGTACTCCAATTCTCTCCATTTTCGGTAACTGTGGCAATTTTGGAAACACGGGTTCTGAAAATTTTGTAMCTTTTTGCAAATAACTTTYTGTTAAAATTGGTGGGRATGATGASGAACCTGTTGAATCGAGTTGACCTTCCTTCTTTCTAACCTCGTCTCCRATCTGGCATTTATCAAGAGCCTGAAATGTTCGATGAACTACATGTAACTAATAGCATACAAATCATATTACAGGCACTAGAACAAGATTGGTTTTATAGGACGTCTAAAATGTCTAAGCGTCCTAATAAAATACTCTATAGCACTTCAGTTTATACAACCAAAMCAAAAAACGTCCCATCTAAATGTGTTACAATAGATTTATACATAGGACGTGTTTAGGCGTTTTAACAAGTTTCTTAGAATCCTTTTAAAATAAAGTATTGTATTAATTACATTATATGACAATATTTAAAAGTATCCTATAAACACAAGTGTCGTATAAAAAGATGGGTTTATAGGACACTTATCAAAAGTGTCCTATAAAATGGCTAATATGACACTTTAATTTATAAGCGTCCAAAAAAAACTTGTTAAAACGCCTAAAAGCATCCTATAAACCTATTGTAACCATTTTAGACAAAACACCTTATAATTTGGTCATATAAACTTAAGTTCTATAAAGTAATTTATTAGGACACTACAAAAAAATCGGATTTATAGGACACTCCAAAATTCTAAACGTCATAATAGACCTCTTTATAGGACTTAGTTTATAGGACCAAAAAAATGAAGTGTCCTATCTAAAGGTGTTGTATGAAGTTTGTATGACGTTTTTTGATGTCGTAATAAGTTTTTTAGGACACTTTTAATATAAAGCGTCCCATTATCAACTTTATTGGACACTATTCGAAAAATTGTCCTATAAAAACAAGTGTCTTATAAAAACAATTGAGTTTATAGGACAATTTCTCAAAAATGTCCTATAAAGTTGCTAATGCGACACTTTACATTAAAAATGTCCTCAAAAACTTGTTAAGACGTCCAAAAGCGTCATATAAACTTATTACAACGCCTTTAAATAGGACGTTTTATATTTTGGTCCTATAACGCGATCTATTGAGACACTTAGGGATTGAGGGTGTCCTATAAAACCAACTTTGTTGTAGTGACACTTGGATATTTCAGGCGTCCTATAAAACCAATTTTGTTGTAGTGAGGCCGGTATAAGTCGTTTAATCAATCAAGAGTACCTCCCAAATCTGATCATCTGAATGTTCTTCAAGTGGGTCCATGTTAGTTCGTATAGTTCCATTGAACATAGTTGGATCTTGAGGGATTATGCTTAATCTAGATCGTAAATCATGGAGCCCGATTGATGATATATTAATCCCATCTATCAGAATCTCCCCGCTGGCAGGTTCAACAATACGAAAAAGCGTTTGTATYAGAGTAGATTTACCACTTCCGGTTCTCCCAACGATTCCCGTCTTTGTACCTCCGTGGAATGTGCACGTAAGGCCTCGCAATACAAGTGGCATGTGCAGCGCATATCGAACCTATCCATGGACTATTAATTTTTATAGCATCTTATTTCACTGGAATGAAACAATACACTACAACAAAATTGATTTTTATAGGACGCCTAAAATGTAAAAAAATTATATGACCAAACTAAAAAGCATCCTATTTTGAGAGTATTACAATAGCTTTATAGGACGCTTTTAGACGTTATAACAATTTTTTACGACGCTTTTGTAATAAATTGTCGTATTAACTACTTTACAGTTTACAGGACACTATTTGCAACGTGTCCTATAAAATGATGGTCTATAAGACACTTCTCAAAAGTGTCATATAAAATAGCTAATAGGACACTTTATTTCGGAAGCAGTTCTAAAAGAACTTGTTAAAACGCCTAAAAACGTCTTATAAACCTATTGTAACGCATTTAGATAGGATGCTTTATAGTTTGATCCTATAAACCTAAGTTATACAAAGTATTCTATTAGGACGCTTAAACGATCTAGGCATTCTATAAAGCCAATTTTGTTGTAGTGATAGAAATATATTGATTACCTGCAGATTGTGGATATCGATTTTTCCTTGCGATGGCCAGAAGTGACGAGGTCTATTTGAGTCTATAACAAGAGGAGGCTCGCTAAGGATAGAACTGTATTGAAATATTCTTTCCACCGATATAAATCGTATTTCCACATTGCAAAGTTTTTGTATTGCCCATCCTTGTATCTTGTTCAAATATAGTCCATATGTCACTGCTAATCCCGCAGTTCCTTCAAATTTGTTTCGAGGGGGTGAGTCGTTTATGAAAATTACGAAATTGTCCTTGCTAACATTCTATCACGAGATAAAATATATAGAGTTTACGATGAAACATAATTCTATACAAACTAGGAAAGGTAAATATATACAAAGAGTGAGGTTGAGGAGTGAGGTCGAGGGGAAAACCTCCAGAAGTACGAAAAACTGAAAACACTCTAATTAACCATTCATTAGTATCGTATGCACACGTTTATACAAGTAATTTGTCCAGCATAGCGAATAGAAATCATGAAAAAAAATTCAATTACTTGTATGCACATGTGCATACCGTACAGATGAATAGTTACTAGGGTGTTCCAAAGTTTGTTTTTTGAGGTTTTCCACTGAGCCTGACCCTTTTTACATATTTATTTATCTATTAAGAGTTTATGCCATTAAATCGTAATCTAGGTATGCCATTAAAAATTACTTACTTGGATCAATAGTTCCTTGAGGAACGGAAACTAGAAAAACCAGAGTGAAGGCGAACATAAAAGAGGACAGCATATCCAAGCGTAAGCCGAGCCAATCCAACACGCCAGCCACATGTAACTTTGGTCTAGAATAGTCGTCAATTAGCTTCAAGCACATGTCTTCAAATCTGCATTTCTGATCAAAGCTTCTAATTGTCGTCGATCCAGAAATTGTTTCAGAAAAATGTTGTATGACCGGGGCTTTGCATACTCCAACTAGTCTTGCTAGTTCTCGTGCTGAAGGTATGTAATATTGCTTCAAATACAAAAAAAAAAATACGTGTAAAACAGAAGTTGCAAATATAGTAATAAGATTATCATATATATATATATACACACACACACACACACATATATATATAGAGAGAGAGAGAGAGAGAGAGAGAATGTGTGTGTGTGAGGTTCAAGGAAAACCCCCTCAAAAAATGAAAAAATGAGAGGAACACCTCAATAACTGTGCATCTTTACAGTATGCACATGTGCATACAAGTAATTAAAGATGTTTTCTGGTTTCTATACATGTGTGCACATTATACACATTAGCATAATGGAAAATTACTTGCAAATTACTTGTATACACATGTGCATACCTTACAGATGAACGGTTACTAGGACGTTCCTTAGTTTTTTTTCATTTTTTGCGGTTTTCCCCTAAACCTGACTATATATGTATGTATATATATATATATATATATAT